GAAAAGTTACCTTGCCATACTTATTTACTACTTAACAAGAATTTTAGCAAAATGTTGCTGATTTTGGTTAAATAAATCATTTATTTCAAAGAAATTTTTATTTATTATTTTTGTAAATTTCTGGAAACCGATTGAAACCTGTGATTGAAATGGTTTCGGTATCGTTCCTTTTCAGGTCAAGATAACGGTTACGGTTTCGGTTTCGGTTTTGAAAAACGAAACGGTTTTAAACGGTTACGGTTTCGGTTTGGGTTTCGGTTTCATTCCTTGGAATTAAGTAAACTAGTGTTCGCCCAGCAGTTGAAATTCAACCGCTAAAATTAAGGACAGTTTATGTGAGTTGAGTTGAGCTGAAATAACATTAGTTGGAATGGGTTAAGTGGAGGGGAGTTTAGCTTAGTACCTAGCATAACATAACATACCACAACATAAGATTAAATAACATAACATATTTAGCATAACACACCATAACATAACATAACATCGCACGTTCTTCTGTTGTATTTTCTTTTTATCCCTATCACTTTCTTCCTCTCTATCTTTGTCTCTATCGCTTTTAATGTTTATGTTTATGTTTATCTTCACCTTCCTGTTCATGTTCATGCTCACGTTCATCTTCATCTTCATCTTCATGTTCATTTACATGTTTATGATCATGTACATATTCAACTTTACCTTCTTCCTTGCATGAATCTTAATCTTCATAAATCTGATTCCTAAATTGCTGCTTAGCAGATTTCTTTAATTCAGTATCAATATTAAAGCATACATTTAGGAGGCATTTCCGCCCCAACCATGCACATTACGGCATTAGTATTGGTGTCAATTTTGAATTTATTTTTTCGCTTTATGTTAAACCAATTTGAAATTTGAAAAATTGTCTGCACATAAGCATCAAAATATCTTTCTAATGATACATAATTTTGTATACCTTTGAGGTACAGTTTAGCAGTAAAAGGGGTGTAAAGAAAACATGATTGCCTATTTGTATATGAGATAAGATACCAAAAACCAAAAAACATATGGAAACATCATTATATTGCAATATATTCGGGGTCTTCGTCAAAAGTTATAAACTGAATTAATTATCATTCCCGTTTATCGGAAGTTTATCAATTTATATGAACGCCGCCATTATTATATATTTCATTATATAAGATTAAAAGTCTTGTTTATTGAGTGGTGAGTTTATGTGTGGCGAATTTTGTTGTGGTGAGTTGAGGTGTGGTGAGTTAAGGTGTAGTGAATTTAGGTGTGGTGAGTTGAGGTGTTGTGAGAAAGTTGAGGTGTGATGAACTAAGGTGTGGTAAATTAATGTGTGGTGGATTTAGGTGTGGTGGATTTCGGTGAGGGGTGTTAAGGTATGGTGAGTTGAGGTGTGGTGAACTAAGGTGGGGTGAATTTAGGTGTGGGGAGCGAAGTAGTGGTGGATTTAGTTGTGAGCAGTTAAGGTGTGGTGAATTAATGTGTGGTGAGCTCAGTTGGAGTAAGTTTTTAAGCGGAGGTGAGATGAATTGAGGTGAGTTAAGTTAAGTTAAGGGGTTATGATCTTTATCCTTATCTTCATCTTCATTGTCTCCTGATCTAAATATGTCCAGTCTTTTCATCATTTACATATTCACCCCCACCATTGTTATTAGGTTAGGTATTTAAATTTTTCTTCCTCTTTGTCTTTATATTTAAGTTTCTTTACTTTTGTTTTAATTTCAGTATTTATCCCTTTCTTCTTCTCCATACTCAACTTTACCTTCTTCCTTGTTTGAGTCTAATCTATTCATGTATAATATATGTAAGCATGGTTCAATAACACAAGGTTATGTAATTTGTGACAACTAAAATTTGACACTCCTTTATCTAGATTTGTATTTTGGAAGTAGGAGAAAGGGGAAGAAAGTGATCGCCTTTTGCGCAAACGGTAGTAGAAAGGTAATGTGTATTATTAATTATATGTTAATTTGCAATATATTTGGTGTTTTAATGGAAATACTAAGCAATACGTAAAAATATACAAGCCAATTCTTAATACTCCCGGGGTGTTTGTTCTCCGGGAATCTGTTTCTCCCGAGAAAGAAATCCCCCAATAATTAACTCCTAGTAGTAGCATTTTCCCCGAAAACTTGGGAGGATTAAATTCGAACTTCGAGAAAGCTGTTTGACACTTTTTTGAGAGCTCAACTCCGCCATTTAGTATAAAAATCCTCAAGGAATTTTTATTCATTCCCTCGGAAAGGGAAAAGAGAGAAAATTCCCGGGGAGTTTCTGTTCAGAATCGGCCTGATAGATTTTTAATTTAATTTATTCGTCATTTCCTGGAACAAATCTAGAATACCGACCGTTCAGCTATGCAAAAACAAAATATGCAGATCAAAAGAACTTTTTACGCTCATTTCAACCATGTCAAAATTATTTAGCGCAAGTAAAATATAAAGACGTTTTAGAAGGTTACAATTAAATTCTTTGATTTTTTTTAAATATTGATATCTTATGAACCACATAACCTATTAAAAAACTAATAACGTAACCATAAAGATAATCAGTTTATCTTTCAGCTGATATACATAATTGAAATTGTTTTTTATATATTTAAACCAAAACCACTAAAAAACGAACACATGTTATTTTTTCATGAAATAACCTTTTTTGAATAAAACTGCATGATTGATGGCAAAGAAATTTATATTATTTAGAAAGTACAAGCTATTATCTTTAATTCGATATACTTATTTTATCATGATCTACTTTTGGGTTTTAAGAATTAAGAGATAATGAAAAAATATATAGTAAACAAAGTAAACAAACCTCTTATATCTTCTTTGTATATTACCTGTGCACAGGTGCACATGTGCCAAATACATTTGGTATCGTTGAAATCAGCGTAAAAAGTTCTATCAATCGGCACTTTTGGTTATTTTATAGCTAAACAGTCGCTATTCTAAACTTGTTCCAGAAATTTACGCAAACGAAGCTGATGCCAACAAATATTTAGCACGAAGAATTTTTGGTTTTACTCATATATGTATGTAATACTTCTATATTGAGAGTAACGTATCTTCACAATGTATTTTTATTCCGCAATCAAAGAAGGGAGACAGCCTATCAAATAAATGTTTGCTTGTGTTAGTATAATGTATATTTGGGAACTATTACAAACAACTGTCAAGTCACTCCAGGAGCGGTTAAAATTAAAAATATTAAAAAAATAGAAAAATAAAATAACCAAAAGTTTTTGCTGAACGTGATTGGGGCGAGCTTTGTGGTAACCGGCGGATTTGAAAAAGCAGCAAGAGATGTATATGTTACACTTGAGGCGATCACCGTAACCACTATTAAAAGATATACTGAGAGGATCCGTGCCTTCCTTTCCAGCACCTTAGCCAGCATGTAGCGTCTGCCCGTTTTCCCTAATACGGCTAATTTTTAAGTAAATAGTACAACATACCGACGCGTGCAATACGGTTTATTATACCCGAGCGCANTCGGACTAAAATAACGGCCGCTTCTCATATAACGGTAAATTTCAGAAATGCTTGAAACTTCAATATTTCGAAATTGAAGGACGCTAATTTACTCAAAATTGATGCACCCCGGCTTACCATCTAGCGGTAGGTTTCGGAAAGGTGAAGAAACATATATTTAATACTTGCGCCGGGTATTTAATGTTCGGCTCCGCCCGAACTTAGACTTTCTTACTTGTTTGCTTTGGGTTAAGCGTTTGGACACAATGGGTCGTATGCATAAAAACTGAGCAAATGCTTTTTCTTAAAATTTCAGACTGTACTCAATTTTTTCAAATAAATTTAAATTAAAGATATATTTTAAGAAAAAGCTATTGCTCAGTTTTTATGCATACGGCCCAATAACCCAATATTGGTGTACAAGTAAAATACCTTTTGCTTGTTCAAATTTCGATTCTAAGAACAAAATGTTAGTAACACCCCTATTGCGAGTGTCGACTGGTAGTAGATAAACGCCTATTATTCGATAATCGCTTTTCCATGGTATTGTGAACGTCGTTGTCTCGTTCAGTAAGTCAGTCTGAATAAATTATAGGCGCTCATCATTTTACAAATAAACAGTTGAAGGATGACCGACTAAAAACTATTCACAGTCGCTTATTGAACGAGAAATCGACATTCACAATACCATGGAAAAGCGATAATCGAATAATATTCGTTTATCTACTGCTAGTCGCATCACAATAGTCACAATCTACTTAATTGTCAGGTTGTTAATATGGCGACGAAAAAGTGACAATGGAACAACCTTCTTTTTTTGTATCATGGTTTGAACCATGATAAAAACATAGCAAGGTAGAACCGTTCTCTCAATTTGTCGGCCATGATTTTTTTTGAAGTTTGCCAACATTTTAAAATCATATAAAAGTGAAAATAAAAAATTGAAATTGTTCGAAATTGTTGTTGCTTGAGATTGAAAATGAAAATGTGTGAGTGAGTTTGTGAGTAAATTTAAAAATTAAATTGTTTGGAAACATCAAGAATTTTAAAAGTGACTCTCAGCGGTTCTACCTTACTATATTTTTATCATGGTTTGAACATTTGGAATGTTTGAAGAGGGTTGTCACGTGTTTAAAAAGTTACATTCAAATTATTCAATAAGTTGGATGAATTATTAAAAAATGGTTATCAATCGAAATGGGTTTGAAAAGGCTTTATTCCTAACATTTATTTGGTAAGGCTGTCATTTGTTAGAACAGTCAAATTCAAATTAGTTCATCAGATTATTGAAATACATGTGTATCATCATGTCAGACGAAAGAGATTAAAGATATTTAGTTTGAGAATACGTTTGAAAAGGAATTTCAAAACTGAGAGGTCAAATTAATTACCTTAGCTTGTAAATGTGTGATAAAGTTTTATTTTTTTTTTAATTAAGAACTTTTTTCATCGGATAGGGTGATTTGAAATTTGATGAAATGAAAAACATGCACTAAGCGAGACTGCTCTTCACTCAGAAACGGCTGCACGGTTTTGATGAAATACAGCACTTTGGATATCTTATAACTCTGACAGACATTTGGAATAATTTTTGTTTTTAGTTTCTGAAATTCGATTTTGGGCGTTTTAATGTCATGTAGATTCACTAGTAAATAAATAATAAGTGGTCCTATAGTTTTTAAAGAAAATGTTTGATTCTATCTACCTACATGCATATGTACGTATCGGATGTTTCATATAGCAAATAATGCTTTAGTCATGTTTACCACTGATTTCTTGCACCCCCGCCTTTTGAAAATAAAACATAATTTTTGGTGGTTGGTTTTTTCTTCGAAAGTACAAAATAAAAAAGAATTTTTTATTAACAATTAAGGAGTTATTGGAAATGTCATACTGTTATATCTGTTATATCACAGAATATTCTTAAAATTTTGAGGATTGGTTTTAAAATGACATTTTTGTACATTGAAAATCATTGATAAAATGCATCCATTGAGGAAGGAGTAAGCTTAAATATTGAAAAAAAAGATTTATGTTTCGCTGTTATTAACATAATTTTTGGTTGATATGCCATCGGGATCGAGATAATAAATTAAAATGTAAATTATTAACATAAAATGTACATATATTAAAAAGCGTTGCAAAATGCAAATCGCATAGAATAATTGTTGAATAAAAGATAATAACTATGACTGGCAAATTATTTCGTTTCATTATTGCATTATTCTCATTGAGTAAACTTACTTACTCTTATTCGTCTATTACCGTTTTATTTGCAGGACTTTAAGATTTCTTTGTGCGCACTTTAATGCATCTAAAAAGGGGTTCGCACGAGGCGATTTTGCGTTCAACTTTTGCGTTCAACTCACGCAGGGTTGCACTGAAAAAAATGGAATGGCTAAATGTTGGCTGGCGACCAACTTTGTTGAAAGCGATTAGTTGAAAGGCCGTTCAACCAAAAGTAGAATGCAAAGTTGAACAATGCAAACGCCTTTTTATGGGGAATATTTTGATATTTTTTCATATTTTGATGGTTTTAGCCATTCAATTTTTTTTCGTTCAACCCTGCATGAGTTGAACGCAAAAGTTGCCTGAAAAATCGCCCCGTGCGAAAGCCCTATAAGATTACAAATTCTGAGTTTAGCTATACATCAAATGCTAAGCCAAACTCTCTCTTAGTCCTTCCTTTGTTAATTTATAATTGAATAGAAAGTACAACAAATGTATTTTTTTGGGGGTTTAATACATAGAACTTCGCCAGTTTTACAGTTTTTTAGAATTTTTAACAGGATTTTGAATTTCGTTTTTTATTCTGTACTTTGTCAGAAATTGGTATTTATTTTATTCGATTTTTTACGAGTCGCTCTTCCACTATCGTATTCAACGAGAATTCATATAAGGTGGTGTCATTAGAACAGCTGATTTGTTTGTTTTGTGTGTGAGGATTGTCAAAATGAGTTATTTGTTTACGTTTTATTTATTTTTTCTTTATAAAAAGCGTGTCAAACATGACGATATTTCCAACTTTTTCATAC